CTTGGCATCAAATGCAATATAATTTACTTTTCCCATTTTTCAGTTGCCACATTTCTCTTGAAGTCCTTTATGAAGTCTAAGGGCCCTTCCAGATAGGCCCTATATCCCAAGATCTGGTCCCAGAGTTTCTGTTTATCCCAGATTATCTGGCAGTGTGGACTCATATAATCCAGTTTAAAGCAGAAAAACTTGGGATCAGATCCTGGAATATAGGGCCCGTCTGGAAGGACCCTTAGTCCCATATGATGGCAGAGCTCAGAGACAATTTGGGACAACATTTTGATATTGGTTCTGGTGGTGTAATAGGTAGTGCTTACCAAAGTAACCAAATGAGAGCACGTTACCTTGTGCTGTAAAATCAGTGTAAAATGACAATCAGTTCCCCTCGGATTCAAACCAGATATATACAAATATAGTTCTTAGAAGGAGGTACTCTTTAAACTCAAATGAAAATGCAAAATTGTCTATGTTATAGCAATTTTGTGATTGCTAAATATTATTATCATTTGTACTAGAGTGTGAGTTCCATACTTAGCCTCAATTAGAGTAGGTCCACTGACCTTAATAATGACAAAGTGTGACTAACAACTGGATTTAAGTCCTGAGATCAGGTAGTAAATGTTTTTACTAGATTTTCTTTCAACGAAGGAAAACAAACTGCTACTTGAAGATGCAGATGCCATTCTGAACCATAACTTTTGAGTGTTTTTAAAAAACCTCAATATGGTTAAAAAAATAACTGTCAATCTATGCTGCTTTTTCAAGTTTAAATATATTATTTATTACTCTGCCTATACAATCCCCAACATACATACAATGGTCAATTTAAACTTCATCTTGCCTATTCATGTTTTGAAAGGAAATAAAGCCAACCCATGGTTATTAGTGCACTGATAGAGAAACATTAAACTCACAGGTTGAACTGCAAGGTCTTCTTCCTGCAAAACTCCCAAAGCTTTGGATTCACGCGTTGGAGGGGGATTCCTTCCATCTTTTCCAGCAACAACATCATACAAGAAGGAAACATCCCTTAAGTAAGACAATTAAAAAAACAATTCAGTTGAAAAGGTACAACAGAAGCATGATCTGCTGTCCTGCTATCCTTCTTTCCTGGAAAAGAATATTACACTCAGCTATGGGTAGGCTGCACAGGCTTCTGTTTGTTACTGAACTACAACACTCAGCCTGTGCTGGGGAAGGCATTACCATCTAATAACAGCTGGAGACCCACAAACTGCTGGACTTTGCTTTAAACTGGGGACCAAAAGGTATGTGTCACTTTCTTACAATAATGGAATTTGTTTACCAGTCTCTCTCTCCATTTGCTTGGCAGGCATTTTTTACACCTCACAACCTCTGAGGATGCTTGCCATAGATGCAGGCGAAACGTCAGGAGAGAATGCTTCTAGAACATGGCCATATAGCCCAAAAAACCTACAGCCCAGTGATTCCAGCCATGGAAGACTTCGGCAATATATTTTTTTCTTTGTCTTCTTATGCAAGAAACATAAGTGTTCACGGCCTCAGATACGCAGAGAGACAACAGAACAAAGGATATGTTTATTAAAATGAAGCAGTGCGAGACAAGGATAGTTTTCATTTAAAATCAAACAATTCATTTTTTTTTAAAGTAGGAGCCAAGTGTTTCATCATACACAGTGTAAATGCAATCCAGATACAAAGTAGGGTAATCCTACTGTGTAATGTAGTACAGTGATACCTTGAGTTAAGAGTTTAATTCATTCCGTGACAATGCTCTTAACTCAATCACTCTTATCTCAAAGCAAGATTTCCCATTGAAATGCTAGTAATCTGATCTGCCTGCCCAGAAGACCCTTCCAATATTTTGTTATGTGCTTTTAAATAAGAATATGTACTTTATAAATAGCAAAGAATGTATAAATGTATATTCACATGGGACAATAAAAAAGAAAGATCAACATTAAAATAGTAGAAGCACAAAGTTGCGGCAAGGAAGCACAAAGCACAAAATGAAGAGGCAGAAGCTTCATTTTCTTTTCTTTTTTAATTAATTTTTATTGGTTTGTGGTGCACACAGGAAACAAAACTGACACCAGAGGGGGAAAAAACAAAAAAACAACAACCCCAAAACAAACAAACAAAAAAAACAGAAAAGAAGAAAAAAAAGATATACAAAGGAGAATGCAAGTTTACAGAATGGTATACAGCCAGCGCTCGTTAAACATATGAAAAATCAACTTTGACTGTACAGTTAATTATACCTTAACATTTATTATCCCTCTAACCCCACACCCGTGAACCCAACCCCCATGACCTCTGACACCACTCCATATGGATCACATAATTAACCCACAACTACCCACATGTCTCCTTTCACTAAATTCCTTTTATGGCTATCTTCAAAACTACTTTTGTCTTCTTTTCGAGATATCCAATTGCCAACCTCCATTTTTTAACAAATTCTTCATTATTTCCTCCTCTGCTGCTATTTGTCAGTTTGGCCATTTGGATATAATCTACTAATTTATCTCTCCAATCCTTAATAGTTAACTCTCCCCCCCTCCTTTCATGTTTTAGCTATTATTAGTCTCACAGCGTTAAAACAATACTGACAAATTTCTTCATCTCCTGCGCTAATATACCTTCTAAATATTCCTAATAAGCACATTTCTGGGTTTTTCTTGATTTTTTGCTAATCATTTTGTTTGTTTCTTTCACCACTTTTTTCCAGAATTCTTTAACTATGTTGCAGGTCCACCATACGTGGAAAAAAGATCCCTTCACCTTCTTGCATCTCCAGCAAGACCCTTGTCCTGTTTTCTCTGTTTCAGCTAGTAACTCTGGAGTTATGCAGGTTCTGTAAAACATTTTAAACGTATTTTCTCTAATTGAGTTGGCCATTAAAATCTAACCCCCCAGATTGCCTCCCTCTCTCTCTTCATGAAACCAATCATACCAGGAATAAACACCACATAATATCAACTAACCCAAAGTTCCTCAAAGTGTACAAGAGCAAAGCAGACAGCAATCTCCCAAAGCAGACAAGAGCACGAGGTATGGAGGCACGAGGCATGGAGGCTGCTCCTATGAAGCCCTAAAGCCCTGTACTCTTGAGCTAGCATTCCTTCTGGCACTAGCTCTAAATCCAAAACGTTGATTGTATGTCATACGAAACCAAAGCCAAACAACAGCTCTACACTCAAAAACGTTCTTATGTTGGGACATTCTTAAGTTGAGGTTTCACTGTGTACACATAATTTCTGGTGGTGAGATGTTTTTGCCTCAGTGGCGCATGCAACACAGCAGTGTGTAAGAGATAGGCAGCAGTGTAGATATTGTTCTGGATTAGAGATTCTCATCTTTAAGCCTTTTACATGTTTTGGACTTTAAATCCCAGCTTCCCCGACCTGGTTAGAGCTTGTAAGAGGTAAGGTCCAAAACACCAGGAGGCACAAAGACTGAGAACCACTCCTCTAGACCATGTCCTAATATACCTATGATACAAGTCATGTGTCTTTTTAAATCAAAGTGTAACAAACTTCTTTTCCCTACCATACAACTGAGGCCTTAGAATTGTGGAGTTACCACTGGTTTTGTAAGCCTTAAATCCCTTTATCTAAGATTTTCAGACAAGATTTTCAGACACGTATTTTATTATTTTTATAATGTTACCTTCCTGCTCCTGTCAGGCAGATGGGATGTTGTATCAGGTATCGAAACTTGTTTCTGCGAATAGGGTGTTGCCAGACTCCATCGGCAGAGCGGATGTTACCCTAAAGAACAAGCAGAACAGATTGACAAAATGTTTTCCAGAATCAAAGGAGAGCCAAATTTTAACTGCTCTAGAAGGTGTTCTGTTCAAAACTGAATAATCGATATTAAGTGTTTGATTATATGTTGTTGCTGTTCATTCGTTCACTCATTTCTGTCTCTTTGTGACCAGTCCATGGCAGAGCTCCCTGTCGGCCGTCACCACCCCCAGCTCCTTCAAGGTCAAGCCAGTCACTTCAAGGATGCCATCCATCCATCTTGCCCTTGGTCGGCCCCTCTTCCTTTTTCCTTCCATTTCCCACAGCATAATTGTCTTCTCTAAGCTTTCCTGTCTTCTCATGATGTGGCCAAAATACTTCATCTTTGCCTCTAATATCCTTCCCTCGAATGAGCAGTCAAGCTTTATTTCCTGAAGTATGGACTGGTTGGAACTTCTCGCGGTCCAGGGCACTCTCAGCACTTACCTCCAACACCATAGTTCAAAAGCATCTATCTTCCTTCGCTCAGCCTTCCCTAAGGTCCAGCTCTCACATCCGTAGGTGACTACGGGGAATACCATTGCTTTTACTGTGCGGATCTTCTTTGCCAGTGTGATTTCTCTACTCTTCACTATTTTATCAAGATTGGACATTGCTCTCCTCCCAAGAAGTAAGCGTCTCCTGATTTCCTGGCTGCAGCCTGCGTCTGCACTAATCTTTGTGCCTAGAAATACCAAGTCTGTCACTGCCTCCACGTTTTTTCCCTCTATTTCACAGTTGTCAATCATTCTTGTTGCCATAATCTTGGGGTTTTTTTTATGTCTGGCTGCAACCGAGCTTTTGCGCTTTCTTCTTTCACCTTGATTAGAAGGCTCCTCAGCTCCTCCTCGCTTTCGGCCATCAAAGTGGTGTCATCCGCATATCTAAGGTTGTTAATGTTTCTTCCAGCAATTTTCACCCCAGCCTTTCATTCCTCAAGCCCCACACATCGCATGATGTGTTCTGCATACAAATTGAATAGGTTGGGTGAGAGTAAACAACACTTTGAGTATGCAAACTGTGAATGGGAACAAGACTGCCATTAAAACACACCTCTAACATCTTCCAGACATGGCTCTATGCAGTTGTGAGAGTATGGAGAAACAACTGTCAGGGTTTCCTTGTAGTATATGTGCACGACAGATTCTCAGATCTAATAACTCCATTGGATTATTTGCAGATATAACATACAATTTTGTCAGCTATTGAGAAAAAAATATTTTTGAGACACTGTACAATTTGAGAAGCTACTTTCTAGAAATGACCAGATAGGAGTACTTGCATAAATTATTTGGGAAACTGGAAAAAGTATTAAGTAGCTATCAGACTAAATGGGAACTTGCTATCTAGAAATAAATGTCTTAAGGCAATGAGAACTTAAAGTAGAAATATACACTTTCTATCACTTTGTGCTAGAGCTTAAGAGATAAGTTGTATAAATCAAAACATAGATGAGAATTCATTCTAAGAATGTTGAGAAGTTTTTACCCAAAGTTTTTAGGGCTTTGCTAACAAGCACAGTCAAAATCAAGGATTATGGAAGCTGCACTCTGCAATACCTGGAGAGCCACAATTTGTCTAATCTGCTGTTTGAGGAACAGCAATTTGGAGTTTTGGGAAAGGGTCTTTTTGAGTTATATTACCTTGGGTGTTTTAACTGAGAATACTAGGAAGTGGATTTAGAATTGTCTGCACTAACTATGCTTTGGTGTCAGGCACCTCTCTCTTGAGATTGTCACTTATATTCACATCAATCCAATATTTATTCTTATATTTCTAACTTCAAATAAGAACAGTCCTTCATTATGTATTTGTTGGCCATTTCTGTCAGAAAATGAAGAGCCACATTCAGAGATCCTATTTTGCCACAGACTTTGGATCAGTTCAACATAGACACTTTAATGTATTGTCGAAAGCTTTCATGGCCGGAATCACTAGGTTGTTGTAGGTTTTTTTCTTCACGCCATGAGAATAAAGACGAAGATCCACCTAGAGGAAAAGTGTTTTTGCCATACATCAAGGGAACCACTGACCGCATAGGGAAGCTGATGAGGAAACACAGCATACAAACTATCTACAGACCCACCAAGAAAATCCAACAAATGCTTTGTTCAGCAAAGGACAAGAGGGATCCTCTCACTTCTGCAGGAGTCTACCGTATACCATGAACCGTGGACAAGTCTACATAGGGACCACCAAACGCAGCATTGCCCAAACACGAATCAAGGAACATGAAAGGCACTGCAGACTACTTCAGCCAGAGAAATCAGCCATAGCAGAACACCTGATGAACCAACCTGGACACAGCATTTTATTTGAGAACACAGAAATGTTGGACCACCATGTCAGACTAGACAGAGAAGCCATTGAAATACACAAGCATGTGGACAATTTCAACAGAAAGGAGGAAACCATGAAAATGAATAAAATCTGGCTACCAATATTAAAAAAACTCTAAAATTGCAACAGCACAACAACAGAGAGGAAGCAGGCAGGGACATCTAATTACCTCTCAACAAAAGTTTGCTCCAGGCACAGTCAGCCCATTGTATGCTAATCAAGGGGGTCAGTTGAAACATTCACACCTAGCTCCAGCAGACAAGAGTCCTTTGTCTCACCCTGGTCATTCCACAGATATATAAACCCCTTTTCCTAGTTCCAACAGACCTCACTACCTCTAAGGATGCTTGCCATAGATGCAGGCAAAACGTCAGGAGAGAATGCCTTTGGACCATGGACACTTTATCTCAGAGGCCAATCTGGAGTGTCAAATTCTGGACTGGTCCTCATATTGTTTTCACCATCAGCCTCCATGTCACTGTGGAGCAGGAGGAAGTCCTTACTGCTAGGACCCAGGCTGCTATGGAGGCAGGAAGGACTCCTGATCATCCAGCGGCACAGAAACCATCTCTGATTGCCCTTGCAACCTAGCCAACATTACTCCAGATTACAAGTGATGGCCATCACCATTTTGGACCCAAGCTGCCACTAAAACAAGAACAGAAGGAGAATGGTAAATGCCAAACTGTGTCCCTGAGCTGCCCAAGCTCGGGGAATTTGAGATGGCCATGAAAAGTGCTGCGGTCAGTTCTATCTCAAAACCGGACCAACTGTTTACATGGGCCTGAAGTTGCAGTTCACTCTGTATCATCAAGTGAACTCCAAAACAACCTGGAACTTTTGCTGGCATACTTCAAGGACGCATTAACCCAAGTAAACTCTATGCTTCATGTAGGCACCAAGGAACCATTTCCACTCCTCCTTTCAAGGAAGTGTCCATGTAGATGTGTCTTCTGAGCTTCACCAAGTTTGCTATATGTGTTTCTTTCATTCCTTTCTTAACAGATTCCTTGCTCCTTCTATCTTTCAGTGAACCTTGGATCTTTATGAGTCTCTTACAGTTACATATTTCTGACAACAGTTTCCTGTAACATATCGTCATACGCTGAAATATACGTATTAACTGGAATAATTCAAAATCACTACCAAACATCTAACTAGTGAATTTTGTGAAATATACTGAAGAGAACAAATCTTTACTGAACAGAAAGGAACTGACACACCTTAAAGTCTTTCATGCCTTTTGTTTTCTGGGGAGGTCGCAAAACAGCGGGGCAAGGGACAGGATTTGCAGCAGAAGTCAGAGCAACAAAAATCTCATCTGGGATAAAATCACTTCGTAAAGGTGCGGAAATTGTCTTTGCATGTTCTAATTGATGGCTTTTGTCTTTCAGTTCAGGGAGCTCTGGAAAAGAACAGGGAAGAAGTATAGATAGCAAGTGTTACTATTTTGATAATATGTATATACTTCGCTGAAAATGAAAGCATACGAACGTCCTCTTTCTCACAAAGGTATATAAACCTATAAAGGAATAGTTGTTCTACAAGGAGTCCAAAATTCTGCAGACAGGGCAGGCATTAAAAGCTTTTAAAAAACCCACAATTTCTGGCTTTAACTATGCAGAATCAAACAACTTTCTGTAAGATTTACCAGTATTGTCCCTGCTGACAAGTGCTGTGGAAAAGGTCTCATTGATTTGTTTGTCCTCTCCTTTTGTCATAGATGGAATCTTTTCCTTGTTAGTAGACATGCTGGAATGTTTTGAATGGTTTGCTTATTGAGTCAGAAATGTTTTCAGCATCAAACAACCTAGAAGGGAAATACAAACCACATAGGCAGATCCTATGACTGCAATTATAGTACGATCCAGTTTCAAATATACTACTATATTTCTTTAATTCTAACACATACTTTTTCCTATGTAAATCTCTCTAAAAGTGGAGTGTGCCTTAGAATTGCAAGCGTATTTTATGTATGACTTTGCAGAAAATGACCTCAGAAGCACTTCATTTTATGTATTGTCGAAGGCTTTCATGGCTGGAATCACTAAGTTGTTGTAGGTTTTTTCGGGCTATATGGCCATGGTCTAGAGGCATTCTCTCCTGACGTTTCGCCTGCATCTGTGGCAAGCATCCTCAGAGGTAGTGAGGTGAGGATGCCTCACTACCTCTGAGGATGCTTGCCACAGATGCAGGCGAAACATCAGGAGAGAATGCCTCTAGACCATGGCCATATAGCCCGAAAAAACCTACAACAACCCACATTATTTTATGGTTCGTGCAATTAAATCCTACCTCATCCTCGGATCCCCTCCCTAGTTTTTTGCATTGTCCTATCCCCCAGTGTTTTAAAATTTTATCCTTGAATTTGTCTCTGCCCAGTGTGATTAATTGTGGTTTAATGTTTGATTTTATGCTCCTGTGTCGTTTACTTATATTGGTTTTGTGTTTTATGTACTTTATTTTCTGATTTTTGTTGCGTTTTTTTGTGTTTATATTGTGTTCTACTGTATTGATAGGCGTGGCCTTATTTAAGCCGCCCCGAATCCCCTTGGGGGAGATGGAGGCTGGGTATAAATAAAGTATTATTATTATGATGATTATTATTATTGTTCATGACGGTACTGAAATTAGGGTGCATCCTACGGCTTACAATTAAGGACATACAATATTTACAAAAGTACATGTGGGAGAGTTATTAAGTGTAAGATAATAACTTCTGGCCAGTGTCATGTGTTAAAGATTTAAAAAAATCAAAAAGCCTTTTGGAATCTAAGAGACTAGCAGGCATGTAGCTGGGGGAGGGGGGGGGGCTTGAGGGGCTTCAGCCCCCCTCCCCCAAATCCTCAGAGTGGTCTGCGAGAAGGCCTTACTGGTACATTATTTAAACCAGGGGTCCACAAACTTTTTAAACAGAGGGCCAGGTCACAGTCCCTCAAATTGTTGGAGGGCCAGATTATAATTTGAAAAAAATATATGAATGAATTCCTATGCACACTGCACATATCTTATTTGTAGTGCAAAAAACACTGAAAACAATACAAAAATTGAAATGAAGAACAATTTCGACAAATATAAAATTATTAGTATTTCAATAGGAAGTGTGGGCCTGATTTTGGCTGATGAGATAGGACTGTTGTTATTGTTGTGTGCTTTCAAGTCATTTCAGACTTAGGTTGACCCTGAGTGAGGGCTGGGTAAATGACCTTGCAGGGCCGGCCCCCGGGCCTTAGTTTGAGGACCCCTGATTTAAACTGTTATGTGTATTAATATCATGATCTGATCACCATGCTCAATATATCCTATATGCATGGGGCTATTGGGATAACGATACAAAAAGTTTGCTAGGGTAGATGTTTAATGATTTATGTTACAGTTGTTTTTAATTGCCCTATATTTGTCTCGTGATGTTTTGTATCAATGTTGTTCACCACTTTGAGTCACCTGAGGGCTGAGAAAAGCGGTATATAAATAAAGTAAATAAATAAATAAATAGATCCTCACCCACCCCTTAACTCAAACTCAGCACCACCACCCCACCACCCCCGAATCAAACTCAGCACCCCCCAAATCAAAATCCTGGCTACGGGCCTGGAGACTAGTATGTGTTTTTGTTGTTTTATATGCCTTCTATATGCCTTCTAACTTATGGCTCTTCTATGGTTTTCTTAGCAAGAGTTAGTCCGCGGACATTTGTGATTCCTTCCTCTAAGGAAAGGTAGAGGGGAAAAATATGGTAATTCCTCTCTATTGCCACTCCACTGCCCCGTCCCAAAAGCTTGGTCCCACAGCCAAGCTTTTACCATCCTTCTAAATGACAGGAGGGAGGAGGCCGACCTGATCTCACCAGAAAGGGAGCTCCACAGCCGGGGAGCAATCACCGAGAAGGCCCTGTCTCTCGTCCCCACCAATCACATCTGTGACAATGGCGGGACGTAAAGCAGGGACTCTCCGGAGGATCTTAATCTCCACGATAGTTCATAGGGGGAGATGCGTTCAGACAGGTAATTTGGGCCAGGACCGTTTAGGGCTTTATAGGCCAAAGCCAGCACTTTGAATTGTGCCTGGTAGCAAACAGGCAGCCAGTGGAGCTGGCGTAACATGAAGTTGAATGCTCCCTGTATGCTGCCCCAGTTATTAACCTGGCTGCCTCTTGTTGGACTATTTGAAGCTTCCGAGCAGTCTTCAAAGGCAGCCCCACGTAGAGTGCATTGCAGTAGTCTATCCTGGATGTAACAGAGCGTGGACCACCGTGGCCAAGTCTGACTTCCCAAGGTACAGGGGTTTCCAATAACACGGTGAGGCTAGGCATTGCTCACCTCTAACATAACATAAAAGCTTCCCTATTTTCATCCCAAAAGGCGGTTCAAAACACCACTCCAATCACCTTGGAGCTCTGATCCCTAAAAGGCCCCCTTTTGACAGGCAAATAACAAAGACAGGCGCGAAATGCCAGGAAGGCCCCTGACTTTGGAGGCAGGCGATGGGCCGCCCCTGCGCCTCGCGCTTCCGGCCGGCATCTGTTGCCATGGCGACACGGCGGGGCTCTGGGTCCTACGTTTCCAGGCGGCCCACTCCGCCCAAGAGCCCCGCCCCTTCCTTGGCGGGAAGTCTTCCTCTCAGAGCTTCTTCCTCCATCCGCCCTCCAAGCACACTAAGGTCTTCTTGCTTGTCTGTCAGGCACTCGATTAGCCGCCTTTATCGCCCGCACTGGGGTCCTTTGGTTTTTTACTGTACAAGAACTTTAGGCAAAGGATGCTGCAGTTGCAGCGCCAAAAGGCTAGGTGGCGCCAAAGGGCTATTTTGCTCTGTGATGGATCCTCAGAATGCTAGAGTTGGACAAAATATTCCCAAAGTGACCCATTTAAGGTGGAATCAGGTGTCAAACAGGGATGTGTTCTTGCCCCAACTTTATTTTTCCATCTTCATCGCTATGATACTTCATCTTGTTGATGGGAAGCTTCCCACCGGAGTGGAAATCATCTATCTGACAGATGGCAAGCTATTTAACCTCAGCGGACTGAAAGCCAAAACCAAGATTACAACAACATTTGTTATAGAACTCCAGTATGCTGATGACAATGTTGTTTGTGCGCATTCAGAAGAAGACCCACAAGCCACTCTAAACACCTTCGCAGAAACATACTGGGCACCACAATTCAAGAGAGATATTGACAAGCTGGAATGTGTCCAGAGGAGGGCGACTAAAATGATCAAGGGTCTGGAGAACAAGCCCTATGAGGAGCGGCTTAAGGTGCTGGGCATGTTTAGCCTGAATAAGAGAAGGCTGAGAGGAGATATGATAGCCATGTATAAATATGTGAGATGAAGCCACAGGGAGGAGGGAGCAAGCTTGTTTTCTGCTTCCTTGGAGACTAGGACGCGGAACAACGGCTTCAAACTACAAGAGAGGAGATTCCATCTGAACATGAGGAAGAACTGCCTGACTGTGAGAGCCGTTCAGCAGTGGAACTCTCTGCCCCAGAGTGTGGTGGAGGCTCCTTCTTTGGAAGCTTTTAAACAAAGGCTGGATGGCCATCTGTCAGGGGTGATTTGAATGCAATATTCCTGCTTCTTGGCAGGGGGTTGGACTGGATGGCCCATGAGGTCTCTTCCAACTCTTTGATTCTATGATTCTATACGAGAAGCTCGGCCTGTCATTGAACATCAAGAAAACCAAAGTGCTCTTCAAGCAGTCACCAGCCAATCCCTCTCCAGAAATACAGCTTAATGGTGTAACATTAGAAAATGCTACCTTGGCAGCCACCTCTCCACCAAAGTCAACATTGACACTGAAATGCAACACCGCCTGAGCTCTGCGAGTGCAGCATTTTCTGAATGAAGCAGAGAGTGTTTGAGGACCGGGACATCCGTAGGGATACCAAGGTGCTTGTTTATAAAGCCATTGTCCTCCAAACCCTGCTATATGCCTGTGAAACGTGGACTGTCTACAGACGTCACATGCAACTCCTGGAATGATTCCATCAGCGCTGCCTCCGGAAAATCCTGCAAATCTCTTGGGAAAACAAGAGGACAAATGTCAGCATGCTGGAAGAAGCAAAGACCACCAGCATTGAAGCGATGGTCCTCCGCCATCAACTCCGCTGGACCAGCCACGTTGTCCGGATGCATGACCACCGTCTCCCAAAGCAGTTGCTCTACTCTGAACTCAAGAATGGAAAACGGAATGTTGGTGGGCAGGAAAAGAGATTCAAAGATGGGCTCAAACCAACCTTAAAAACTGGCATAGACACTGAGAACTGGGGAGCCCTGGCCCTTGAGTGCGCCAGCTGGAGGTCAGCTGTGACCAGCAGTGCTGTAGTATTTGAAGAGGCATGAATGGAGGGTGAAAGAAACGTGTCAAGAGGAAGGCGCATCAAGCCAACTCCGACCAGGACCACCTTCCACCTGGAAACCAATGCCCTCACTGTGGGAGAAGTTGCGGGTCAAGAATAGGGCTCCACAGTCACCTACGGACCAGTACACCGATCTTGGAAGACTATCCTACTCGGACAACGAGGGATCGCGTAAGTAAGTAAGAATCCTCAGAATTCTAGAGTTGGACAAAGACCCCAAGGGGCCATCCAGTCCAACCCCTTTCTGCCATGTAGGAAAAGCCCAATCAAAGCACTCCTGACAGATAACCATTAGGCCTGTGCGATCAATGAAAAAAATTGTTTAAATACTCATTATGAAATTAAGGGGGGGAAATTGTTTCTAAAATTTACAAAATTGGATGGGGTCTGTATCGTAACTATAACGAGTTGACTACTTTTTTGCTACTTTTTGTTATAATAATTG